ACCTGGGGACTTGTCAACTTGCAGTTGCAGCAATTTACTGAAGACTACTTCCTTCATAATTGTAATTTTCTTGAGTTCCTCTCTCCCTTTTAATTCCTGATTTACAGCCATTTTTGGGATGCTACTTGCATCATTTCTGGTGAATACCAGCACACTATATCTGTTCAATTTGTCTCCTATCTCTTTATTCTCCACTGCTAATTCCCTTGACTCATTTTCTATGGGACCAACGCTTGCTATGTTAACTCTTTTTCTGTTTTAAATATCTGAAGAAACTGTTTTATATTTTTGTCTATCTTCCTGTCATTCTCTCTTTCCAGTAATCCTTTGCTTTTATTTATATACTGTCCAATCCACTGACCTGCCACCTATCTTTGCACAATTATGCTTTTTTTCAACTTTTAATACTATACTTTTAAGTAATCACAGATGGTGGGTCCATCCCTTAGAATTTTTCTTATTTGTACGAATGTATCTATTCTTTGTTTTGTGGAATATCCCCTTAAATGTTTGCCACTGTATCTCTATTGACCTATCCCATACCCTAAATTCCAGTTCACTTTTGCTAGCTCTGCTTTCAGGCCACGTAATTGTCCTTGTTTAAATTCAAAATGGAAGTGTTGAACCCACACTTCTCTCCTTTAAACTGTGTGTAACATTCAGTTGTATTATGGTTACTGCAGACCAGGGTCACTTTCCCTGTGAGGTCAGTAGTTAGTTGTGTCTCAATGGTCAAAACTAGGTCTAGTGTTGGCAGCAGTCTGGTTGGTGCCATAACATGCTGGTCTTGGGAATTGTCCCAAAAGCATTCAATGATTCTCCATCTAGATTTCACTTTCTTATCTGATTTTTATAGTCTATGTGTAGGTTAAAATCCCCCCATGACAATTGCTGTACCTTTCTGACATGCTCCCAGTTTTCTTCCTTAATATCCTGTTCAACCATTTGGTTGTTAGGGACCTGTACACATTTTCCATAAAGTGAACTTTTGCCTTTATCATTCCTCATCTCTATCCAGACTGCTTCTATCTTGGTTTCCTGAATTTAGGCATTCCCCCTCAATTGAGCCATGGGCTGGCACGGTGGCTCAGTGGTTAGCACTGCTGCCTCACAGTGCCAGGGACCCGGGTTCGATTCCACCCTTGGGTGACTGTCTGTGTGGAGTTTGCATATTCTCCCCATGTCTGCGTGGGTTTCCTCCGGCTCCGGTTTCCTCCCACAGTCCAAAGATGTGCAGGCTAGGTGGATTGGCCATGCTAAATTGCCCATAGTGTTCAGGGATGTGTAGCTTGGGTGGGCTATAGGGGGATGGGTCTGGGTGGGATGCTCCGAGGGTCGGTGTGGACTTGTTGGGGTCAAGGGCCTGTTTCCACACTGTAGGGATCCTATGACCCTATGATATGTAGGCCAACTGAACAGTACAGATCCCATTTTCCCAAGTATTGGTGTCAATGTCCCGCAAACTGGAACCCACTTCTCCCACACAAGCCTTTTAGCTACGCTTTCATCTTTCTGACCTTGTTTATTCTATGCCTGTTTGCTCATGTAATAATCCAAAGATCGCTGCCTTTGAGGTTCTGCTTATTTTTGGTATCTGGTTCCTCATAGTAGCAATGCAGAACCTCTTTCCTAGTTCTACTTATGTCACTGATGTCTACATGGACCACAATAACTAGATCCTCCCCTTTCCACTACAAGATCATTTCCAGCCCAGATAAGACATCCTAAGCCCTGGCACCAGGCAGACAACAGAACCATGTGGACTGTCACTCTTTGCTGCAGAGAGCAGTGTCAGTCTCCCTGTCTGTATTGTCCCCTATTACCACTGTGCTCATTTTCACTCACCCCACTTGAATGGCTTCCTGTACCATGCTACTGTGGTTATTTAGTTCATCCATTCCACACTCCCCACTCTCATCCAGAATAGTTGAGAGAACCTCTAACTTGTTGGACAGTTGCAGAGCTGAAACACTTAATGTCTGTCCTCTGGGTCTCCATACCTGGTTCATTTACAATCACACCCTACTGACCCTGACCACACCACAGACTATTTAATTCTAAGAGGTGTGACTGCCTCCTGGTTCAAAGAATCCAGGCAACTTTCCCTTTCCAGATGCATCGCAGTGCCTGTAGTTCAGCCTCCAGCTCACAAAACTGAGCCAAAGCTGCTTCAAAATACTTTCAAGCACTTGCTATAGATATGTTTACCCCGGATCACTGTGGTATCCTTGAGCTTCCACATATTGCAGCTTTGACAATATCATCTGTATTGTCATTCTTAATGAGATTTTAATTAATCATTTATTTATGTTGTTTTTTATGTATTATATTAGTTTTACCACCAATGTGTATTCTGTGTTAAAACTTGAGAAGAGAATATGCTTCGACCATTTAACAGATAAGCAAGTGTCTGTGTCACATCTGATGTTTGGTTTGAGCTTCCAGCCTTCAAATCCCCCTTTCCGATACAGCTAATTAACTTATAGACTTCCTGTGATGACTTCTTACCTTTTTCAACAAGAACTGACTGCAGGCCACACTTTCCAGTCTGTTTCACTGTGCTGCTGAATATGGGTCACTCTTTCCAGTCTGCTTCACTGCCATGCTCATTGGGCCACACTTCCTAATCTGCTGTACTGTGATGCTAACAATGGACCGACCTTGCCAGTGTGTGTCACTGCAATGTTGACTGCAGGCCACTCTTCGCAGTAAACTTCACTGCATTGTTGATTGCAAGCCACTCTTTCCAGTCTAAACAAAGCTGAAATCCGTGAAAGTCTAGAAGTTGTTGTCATTGATTAGAAGAGAATCCCTACAGTGTGGAAAGAGGCCTTTTGGCCCAACAAGTCCACACCAACCCTTGAAGCATCCCACTCATCCCCATCCCCCTATAACCCACCTAATCTACACACCCCTGAACACTATGGGCAATTTAGCATGGCCAATCCACCTAACCTGCACATCTTTGGACTATGGGAGGAAACCGGAGCACCCGGAAGAAACCCACGCAGACACTGCGAGAATGTGCAAACTCCACACAGACCGTCGCCCAAGGGAGGAATTGAACCCGGGTCCCTGGTGCTGTGAGGCAGCAATGCTAACCACTGAGCCACCGTGCTGCCCCAGATTCGACTCTTCTCCATTGGAATACACTGTTCTCGAGTCTGCAGTGCAATAGAAATCACTGAACTAGCTAGAATTTATCCTTTTAAACTATTGGTGCCACTGTTGGAAACCTTGAAAAGTTGGCCTTGGTGAATGTAGCTTAAGTGGATTTTTAAATGGCATGTTAAATTAATTATTAATGCTGTAGGCCTTACAAGCTCTGAAAAATTTAACGATTGTGTAAAATGAGAAAACATTCAAGTCAAAGAAACAAAATTAATACTGCTGATATTTCAGATTCCACCTTCAAGTCTATTTTTGTAAAATGATATTTCAGATCTATTTTCATTGTTTGTATATGTCCCAGTAATTTATTTTAGTTGTTTAATCTAAGGTTGTAAAATTCAGTACACTTTATTTCCTGGTTTGTAGTCTATGAGAATCTGTCAACATAACCGAACACCATTAGCAGTCAATGACATCACTGTTGCTGGACATTTAGATGTCCCATGACATGGCACCAGATTGAAATGGGAAAGAGGAAATCTGCACCATAGAGATCCTTGCGGGTAACCTTCTTGAGATTAGCGGTGACCATGAAATCCAAGTCTGTGTCTCACAAGAGTAAGCCTTTAGAATTGACCTTTTATACAGCGCAATAATTAAACAGATTCAAAATGCAACAGCTTTGTTTTTGAATTGATAGAATATTACATGTAGACAGCAGTCTGTCCTCTCCTTTTTCCCCTTGTGGCTTGGCTTTTCTTGCTCTCTTGCCTTCCTTTTTCACACTCCAGAACAATGAGACCATAACCATTTATGAGTGAAACAATGAAGTACATCTAACTTCCTTTTAAGCAGCATCCTATCAATTTGTCACTCTTGATAAACCAGCAAAAATTATATATCTCCTCTACAGTGATGTCCAAGTATTTATGCTTATTATGTTTCTATTACTTATTATGTGTTTTTACATTGATTTTAGGACCTGTGTTGATTTTTTAACGTCTTTTTTTTTTAAGGATGTTAATGTCTTGAAGTTTCACTTGGTCAGGGTTTACTGTGGTTAGGTGTACCTCTTGATTATCCAGAATGTTTGATTAGCCAGCACGTTCCTGGACCCATAGGTCCAGACAATTAAAAGTTTGCTGTACTGTTCACACAATGGTATTGGAAATCTGGAACCCTTTCCTTAAAGAGACTGTTAATGTTGGGGCTCCGTTGAAAGTTTTTTTTTTAAGGCTGAGATCAATGTCTTTTGATTAAGATTATCAGAGGATTTGAATCAAAGGCTGATAAATGAAGTTGAGGTGATGATTAATTGTGATCTATTGAAGTAGTGGAGCAAGGAGTTGGATGACCTAATTCCATTCCTGTGACTATGCCTTGGCAGTGCCATCAATGCAGAAGAAAAAATTTGTTATAAAATGGTGAAAGAGGACAAAGTGTAACAACAAAACCTTGCATAGAACAGATAAAAGACTTTTTTTTATTTTAATGTATTGTTGATCATGTTTTCCTGCACATTGTGCTGAATAGCTAATAGGTTTGATCAGTAAAAAAATATATTTCTGAGATTCATGATTATGCAGATCGATGTTGACATTCGCCCTTCGGTAGCATGTATAGAAAACATCCTTCCCAACCAACTGATGAAGAATAAATATCAGATCCTGATATGGTACAGTCATTTCAGAAAGGAAAGCTGACCTTGAGGCTAGAATATACCCTTTATTTTGATCAAAAATTTTAGTGTAATTTCTTCACTTGAATTTTTTTTCCAGTCTTTGTTACTACTTTGTTGCATTGTACAGATATAATAACCTCTGATGCTTCTGTCCTCAGACTGGCACTGTGAGACTAAAAGACATTCTTCTTCATTTCATTTATACTAGGTGCCTCAGTTTTTTCATTAAGTGAAATTCAGTTGCAAAAGGATCCTGGCTACAGAACCACCTCATATCCAGAGACAGGTAGGATTTATTGGTTATGGAACTGAATGTATATGTGAAAAAAAGTTGCAGAACCTCACTTATCCACTTTCACACAGGATGCAGGTCTGCTTCTGTTTTCATATTAGTGCCATTTGCAAACCAGTTAGTCAGGTGTCTATTACAGTAAGCACATGTGACTTTTTAAAAAAACATTTTCTATTAAGCTATTTTCTGTCAACATACAATAACTACTGCTTACCTTTTTTCCCCTTCCACATTTGTAGTGTTCAGAGATAGCATTTACTTAAAATGAAGGGTAACCCTTTAGCTTATGGTAAATTTTTTTTTCCTTTTTGTGTGATTTTGGCATCATTAGCAAGTCAGTATTTATTATCCATTTCTAATTACCCTTGTGAAAATGGTAGTATGCCACCATCTCAAACCATGGTAATCCATGTAGTATAGTTATTCAGGGACATTTCAGATGTTGACCCAAGAGACATGGTAATTTTTCTTATCAGTAATGGAGTGTGGGCACGGCTGGCTAGGCCAGCATTTATTGCCCATCCCTAGTTGTCCTTGAGAATGTGGTGGTGAGCTGCCTTGTTGAACTGCTGCAATCCATTTGCTATGGGTCAACCTATAATACCATTAAGGAGGGAATGTCAGAATTTTGTCCCAGCGATATTGAAGGAAGATATATATTTCCAAGTCAGAACGGTGAGTGGTTTGGACGGGAACTTGTAGATAATGCTGTTCCTATGTAATTTCTGCCCTTATAATAGTGGTTGTGGGTTTGGAAGCTGTTGTCTGAGAAGTCTTGGTGAATTTCCTGTGCATCTTGTAGACAATACACACCGCTGCTACTGAGTGTCAGTGATGAAGGGAGTGAATGTTCAACAATGTGGTGCTAATCAAGCAGGCTGTTTGTCCTGGATGGTGTCTAAGCTTCTTGAGTATTGTTGAAGCTGCACTGATGCAGGCAAATGGAGCATATTCCATCACACTCCTGACTTGCGCCTTGTAAATGGCGGACAGGCTTTGGGGAGTCAGGAGTCAGTTCTTTGCTGTAGGATTACTAGCCTTTGACCTGCTCTTCTAGTCACAGCTATTTATATGGCTAATCCAGTTCAGGTTCTGGTCATTGGTAAACCCCAAGATATTGATAGTAGGGGGATTCAGTGATGGCTATGCCATTGACTGCCGAGAGGCAACAGTTCACTTCACTCTTGCTGCAGATGGTCGTTGCCTGCCACTGTGTGACACCAGTGTTACTGTCAGCCTAAATATTGTGCACGTCTCGTTGCAGGCAAGATAGGTCAGGGTCATATGTGATATTGAGAGCTAATGTTGGTGTTTCTGTGTCCCTGTTAGACTGATTTGTCAAGATGGTAGATAATGCAGGTTTGGCTGATGCATTTGAAGGGATTTGGTGCTGTAGTGCGTCTAATAATTTTCACATGTAGCTGCCCACTGTTTGCCAGTGGTAGAAGCTGAAAGTACTTTAATGTTGTAGGTGGTTTGTCAATCAACTAGACTGCGTTGCCTTGGAAGGTATTGAGCTTCTAAAGTGTTATTAGTGATAAACTTATTCAAGCAACTGGACTGTATTCCATATACTACTGTCCTTTTAGATGGTGGTCCACTTTTCAGGAGGCAGAATTCCTAGTTTCTGACCTGATCTTGTAGCCACAGTATTTATGTGACTGATCCAGTTCCGTTTCAGTGATGACCTCTCTGATGTTGATTGTGGGGTTTTCATCTTTGGTAATACCATTGACTGTCAAAGGAAAGTAATTAGGTGAAGGTACTGAATGTTCGTCGATGTGGTACCAATCAAGCAGCTGTTTGTCCTGGATGGTGTCTAAGCTTCTTGAATATTGTTGGAGCTGCACTGATCCAGGCAAGTGGAGGATATTCCGTCACACTCCTGACTTGTGCCTTGTAAATGGCGGGCATCTTGTTTAGATACTAAATAAAAACCAAAAGATTTGTCGATGCTATAAATCAGAAACAAAACCAGAAGTTGCTGGAAAAGCTCATCTGGGAGAAAAATCAAAGTTAACGTTTTGAGTCGAGTGACCCTTCCTCAGAACTGACCCAAAACGTCAGCTTTCCTGTTCCTCTGATGCTGCCTGGCCTGCTGTGTTCCTCCAGCTCCACACTTTGTTATCTCTGACTCCAGCATCTGCAGTTCTTGCTTTCTTTCTTCTATCCAACTGTGTTCATTGTACTTCACATTCCAAGTTAATATACATAACTATATTATCCAATCATATTCAAAGTTGTATACATTATTATAATATCCAGACAAAGCATAACATGTTCACGAGTATATCAGCATGATGCTCACATCTTCTGACTGTAAGTACACAACTTGAGATATTCAAAACTCTTTACTATCCTTTACCCCTTTCACGTGCCATTTATCAATTCGGGTCCAAATGTAGACATGGACTGATGTCTGTTGGCAATCCTTTATGTGGAATTGATTCTTTCTTATTTATGGCTGAAGTCAGGTATCAGTGTTGACTGTGGGCTCACAGATGTCTTTTAGCCCTATCCTTACCTTGCAGGTTCTCCCACAGTGAAGACATCGATTGTCTGCCGGTCGGGTTGGTGGATCTCTTGCAGAAAGTCTTGATGTCATGTTTTGGTCACCTTTAGCATCTGTTCCCCGTGCATTGATGTTAATAGAGTGGACTTAATTGAAGCTTTAAGATTGTCTTTGAAACATTTCCTTTGCCATTTTGTGATCACGCTCCCTGCTATCGTTCTGAACAAGAGCATCTATTTAGTGAGTCTTACTCCAGGTATTCTGACACTATGTCCCATTTATCTCTGATGATGTGAGGCTATCACAGTCACTATCTTTGATATGTCTGTCTTAGAGAACTTTCACATTTGTTATGTCCTCGTATCTGACTCTCATTATTTTAATTCAGCATTAATAATGTTGTTCTAGAACATCGATACGGTGCCTATAAGCTAATCAAGTGTCAGCATTATAGACAAGCTTGAGTTAACCACGCTCTATCTGACTTTGAGTTTAATGTTAGGTCTGATGGTACAATTCTCAAACTTGAGTTTGTAAATTATTATGGAGCAAGCTGGCGAATTGGATTCAAGAGTGTACTATTTCATCATTTTCAGCTTTTTAGATAGACAGCTTCCAAGATTTAAATCTGAGATGTTTTCCAACACTATTTCATGAATCTCAGTTGAAAGTGTGTGATACATTTGATCTGGGTTGGTAGAGGACTAGGGTCTTCTGGCATGCAGGATGAGCCCTGTATTCTTAAACACTTCAGTGAATGTCAAACATCTGTTGTAGTTCTTCAGCAGATTCAGCACTAACTTGGCTCATGATAGTTCTACCACAGCATGATTATTGTCTTGGTTGTGGCCTTCAGCTGGTTGACAAGCTTGCCATCTGTGCAATATAGAGTCATAGAATCATACACCACAGAAACAGATCCTTCGGTCCAACTCGTCCATGCTGACTAGGTTTCCTAAACTGAACTAGTCCCATTTGCCTGATTTGGCCCATATCCCTCTAAACCTTTCCTATTCATGTACGTGTTCAAATGTCTTTTAAATGTTGAAATTGTACCCGCCTCTATCACTTCTTCTGGCAATTCATTCCATATGCGCACCACCTTCTGTGAGAAAAAGTTGCCCCTCAGGACCCTTTAAATCTTGCCCCTGTCATCTTAAACCTATGCCCTTTAGTTTTGGACACCCTTACCCTGGGGAAAAGACCTTGGCTATTCATCTTATCTATGCCTGTCATGATTCTATAAATCTCTTTAAGGTCACCGTTCAGTCTCCTACGCTCCAGGGAAAAAAGTCACATCCTATCCAGCCTCTTCTTACAACTCAAACCCTGCAGTCTTGGTAACATCTTTGTAAATCTTTTCTACCCCTTTCCAGTTTAATAGAGTCCTTCCTATTTGTTGAATCATATAGGATTCTAAAGGGATTTGACAGGGTAAATGCTGAGATGATTTTTCCTGTCAGGGAGTCTAGGACCAGAGGGCACAGTCTCAGAATAAAGGAGTGCCAGTTTAAGACTGAAATGAGGTGAATTTCTTCTCACAAAGGATTGAGAATCTTTGGAACTCCTTGCCACAGAGAGCTGTGGGGGATAGAGTTCCTGTGTATCAGTAGGCAAATCAAGGGTTATCGGGAAATTTCAGGAAAGGGAACTTGTGGAATAACCAATCAGCCATTATCCTAGTGAATGGCAAATAGGCTCAAGGGGTTGAACGGCCTACTCCTATTCCTATTTCTTATGGTCTTATGGTTTACCAGACCTTTGGGAAGCCTGTCAGTAATAAGTTGCAGCATTAGTACAAGAAATTCAGAATAGGGTTGCTGCAGTGACACATCTGACTGACACCTGTTTTGACAGAGAAGAGGTTTGCTGCAGACACAGACTACAGGAGATTCCCGATTTACAAAAATATCTGACTTACAAATACTTGTACTTACGAGCAAGATTCCATCCTGTGGTGAATTATTTTAAATTTTAAAGATCTGATGTGAACATTTCCTTGTATTTACAAATGGCTATTTTATAATTGTCCTGTACTGTGTTCCATAAGATATAAAAGCCAAATTAGTCCATTTGGACCATCGTTCACCACCATTCACCATCATTGGTCCACCATTCAATCATGGCTGGATATGTTTCTCAATCCCAATCTCTTGCCTTCTTTCCACAACCATTGATCTCCTAGTAATCAAGACCCTATCAGTCTCTGTCTTAAATACTCTCAAAGACTTGGCCTCCACAAATTCTGCAGCAATGAGTTCCACAGACTCACTGACCTCTGGCTGAAGCAATTCATCCTCGTCTCAATTCTAAAGGGTCATCCCTAGACTCTGAGGCTGTGCCCTCAGGTCCTAATATCTCCTACTAGTGGAAATATCTCCATGTCCGCTCTACCCAGACCTCTCAGTACTCTGTAAGTTTCAATGATTTCGTTCCTTATCCTTCTAAATTCCATTGAGTACTAACCCAGAATCCTCAACCACTCCTCAAATGATAAGCCTTTCCTCCCCAAGATCATTCTTGTAAATCTCCTCTGGACCCTCTCCAGCACCAGCAACTGCTTCCTTAGATATGATGTCCAAAACTGCTCTCGATGTTCCAAATGTAGTCTGTCCAGAGCCATATACAACCCCAGCAGCATACCTCTGCTGTTTTATTTAGGCCTCTTGAAATGAATGCTAACATTACATTTTCCTTCCTAAGTGCCAATTGAACTTGCATGTTAACCTTAAGAGAATCCTCAACGAGGACTCCCAAGTCCTTTTATGCTTCAGATTTCTGAAGACTTTCCCCATTTAAAAAATAATCTACGCCTCTATTCTTCCTACCAAAGTTCATAACATCACACATTCCCACATTGGATTCTATCTGCCACTTCTTTGCCCACTCTCCTAGCCTGTCCTTAGCAACAATGCCTTTGTTCCTTTGTTCAGATTGTTAATGTATAATGTGAATATTTGTGATCCCAGCACACTCTGTGGAATTCCACTAGTCACCAGCTGCCATCCTGAAAAAGACCCTTTTATCCCCACCATCAGCATTCTGCAAGTCAGCTAATCCTCCATCCATGCCAATATCTTGTCCCTAACAGCATGGGCTCTTGTCTTAATTAGCGGTCTCCCATGCGACACCTTGTCGAAGGTCTTTTGGAAATCCAAATTGATCACATCCACTGGCTATCATTTGTCTAACTTGCCAGTTACCTCCTCAAAGATTTGTCAGACATGACCTCCCCTTGACAAAGCCGTGCCGACTCAGCCCTATGTTACCATGCACTTGAAAGTACTCTGCGATCTCATCCTCAACAATGAACTCTCACCACTGGCTAGGCAGCGTTCAATGCCCATCCCTAATTGCTCTCGAGAACTGGTAAGCTGCCTTCTTGAGGCATTGCAGTCCACCTGGTGTAGATACATGCACTTTGCTGTTGGGAAGTGAGCTCCAGGATTTTGACCCACTTACATTGAAGGAATGACAATGTAGTTTTGAGTCAGGATAGTGGATGAATTGGAGGGAATCTTATTAGGTGTTGATATTCCCATGCATCTGCAACCTTTGTCCTTGTAAGTGAAGAGAGTTTGGGTTTGGAAGATGCTGTTGAAGGAGCCATGGTCAGTTACTGCAGTACATCTTGTAGAATATACATTCTTCTTCCACTATGTGTTTGCTGTGGGCGAGTGCATGTTGAAGGTGGTGGATGGGGTGCCAGTCAAGTAGGCTGCTTTGCCCTTTCTTTCCTGTCTGGAAAAACAATTTTTCAACTTACTTCTAAATCCCTTTCTAAGATTTGGACACAATAATACACTACAAAAATATTTTTTTTCTAAAAGCTCATAATTCTTAGGAATTCTTCAATGTTTAATACTTTCAAGTAATGGTAATTTCATGGGTTTGCAGGTTCAAAGCGATCCAATATGAAACTGTCTTCAAACGTACTGAACTATCACTTATTGTCACAACAACTAGGCTGCTGCACAATAACTTGCTTGCCATGAAATTGGTTTTAATGCATCTTACTTTGTTTTGTAGCACATGGGAAAAACAGAAGACAGAGTATGCTGTTCTAGGCTATCTTGCAAAATTACAGACTTGAGTTCCACTGGCTTGCCATTTTACATCGCAGTTACCCAGGATTCTGAAGACGACAATTTCCATAATTTAGTGTGGATCAGAACTTGAATATCAACATGTCTCCTTTACTGCCCTTGCGATGTAGTCTTTTATTCTAATGTGTAGATTGTTTTATATTCACAAATCACGTTCAGACATTTTTGTGTGTGTGTGTATATATTTTACATATTGTGTGTATATACATGTATAATGTATGTATATACAGATATATTTACATACACATACAAAAAATAGGTTTATGGTTTCACCTCTGCTGTTTTATAACCAGTAGTTACAGCTGCTGCTGTAACTTTAGCTGCAGTTTTGTGCAGTACTGGAAACAAAGTGCTTATTTATTGGGAATCATTGCTGCTAAATGACTACTGTCCATTAACCACATCATGGTGGTATAGCGGAAAATGTGAGTGGCTTGTAGCATGTGAATGCATCTGTTTCTTCTAATAACTATTTCCAGCAGTTTGCAGATTTTACTGTTACACTTAATTCCAAATGCTCTTGAATATTTAAATATCTGCAGAGCTTCACATTGAAAAAAATGATTGTGATGAGGAATCTTGCACCCTTTAAGCTCATACAATAGAATATTTAAATTTGTTTTGAAATCTTGTGTGACCAGCAGGGAAACTGATTAGTGTTTTTAAAAAAAATTTGAAGAAATCAGCATCAAATCTGTTTTTTCATTACTAAATATGAGCAAATTCTTTGCACCTATTTTTCCATGTCATTTTATGAAGACATGGAAATTCAGAGGGTTTAATTTTGTATCTGATCTCTGCTGTTATTTCTCATCATTTTATAATGACTTCACTACAAAACTTATGTATCTCAATGAGTATCATAAGTAGGCTTTTGTTAACAGTATTTGTATGTATGTTTGCCTTTACAAATAATGGTTTTAGTGGATCTACATTTTAGGATTACTGTTAATATATAATTGTTAAGAAATCAGATTTGTAGCAAATGCAAATAATCATTGATGACATTTTTTCTGGACTTTTACTGTAAACTTATTCAGGGTCCTATCATTTTCATCAATTTACATAGTTTGTTATTTAACAGTGTTAAGGATATTTTGTATGTTTAATTTTATTTGTGAACTGTGATGATGGCATGTTGAAAAATTGTTTACTTGTATTTTGTGTAGCTTGTGACTTGATTTTAATTGGAATTTTGTAAGAAGGAAAAGGAAACAGATTCATTGGTAACATTGTACATTGGACCACTACTGCTCATAAAATGATTCCAGGCTGAGATGTGTATATCTAAACTAAAACTGCTGTGCTATTTCTGACTGACAGTACTATTTTTGGAAAGTATAAATATTACAGTGCATTCCTTGTTTTAACCGATCACTTTTTTGTGTTCTATTGTGTGACCACCTAAGATTTCTCAAACTAAAGCATTGCTACAGTCATTGACAAAGATTGGTAAAATTCATTTTAAGTCTGCTGACTCCCACAGCCAAGTTGACTACATTGCTTCCTCGCCTACTTCCTCTAAGAAGTCTCCTGCATTTTCCTATGCTCATCTTGTCAATCACCTGCCAGTTCCCAAATCAGTACTACCAATGTATCTTCCATTTACTTTAAGTTCAGCCCACTCTAGTTGACAGACTCCTCAGTTATGGCTATTCTGTTTGCCCCAATTCTCCCATCATCTGAAACTCTCTCTCTGAGAACTGTGATAAAATTCTTATCCTATACTTTCATTCTTGTTCTCAATACAGTCTACCCTACATGAGGGAAATCAAACACAAATAAACGTGAGATGATGCACTTGGGCAAGACAAACAATGCAAGGGAATACATGAATGGTAGGACCCTGGGAATCAGAGGAACCTAGATGTGCAAATATACCAGCACCTTAAGGTATAAGGGCAGGTGGATAAAATGGTTAAGAAGGCATATAGTATAAGGTTGTTGACTTGCTTGCCAAGCTTGTTTGTTTTCGTTCAGATGTTTCATCACCATTCAACCTAAACTCTGGATTCGGTATGCGGACGACACATTTGTCGTCATTAAATGCACCAAACTAGAAGAGACCCACCACCTTATCAACAATGAATTAGCCAGGATTAAATTCACGAGAGGAGAAGAAAACAACAATCATCTTCCGTTTCTGAATTGAAAATATGACCCATGGGGAGTTCCAAACCTCTGTATACAGGAAAGTAATCCACACTGACCAAATGCTCAACTTCCACAGCAACTACCCCAACGTCCACAAACAAAGCTGTATTAGGACACTATTTAAATGGGCCATCACTCACTGCAACACACCAGAGCTACGCTGGAAAGAGGCAGAGCATCTATACAAAATCTTCGCTATGAATAAACTCCCCGCAACTTCGTCCGCAGGTGCCTGCTAAATAGACAATAACAATAACAAGAGGACATAGTACGCCCTAACACACTGGCCGTGCTGCCCTACATCAAGAACATACCAGAACTGACAACGAGACTCCTGCGACCACTAGGAATCATGGTAGCACACAAGCCCACAGCCACTCTACGACAAACACTCTCAAGGATTGAAGACCCCGTTCCCACAACATGCAGAACCAACACAGACTACAAAATACCATGCAACGACTGCCACAAACATTACATCGGACAGACAGGAAGGAAACTAGCCATCAGAAAACACAAATATCGGCTAGCAGCAAAACAACACGACAAACTTTCCTTAATATCAGTACACTCAGATAATGAAGGCCATCAGTTTAACTGGGACAACGTAACTGTAGTAGCCCAAGCAAAACATAGACCCATATGAGAATTCCTAGAGACATGGTTCTCAACCCATAATGCAATCGACAAACATGGAATTGGACCCCATGTACAAACCTATACAGATCAAAACTGGAAACGACACAATTCACCGTAACAGACCAGACAGTTTCAATTCCAAGAGGAGTTGAACAAGGCCTCACTGATGATGTTACCTAGCATGGTGATGTAACATCTGAATGAGAACAAACCAACTCAGCAAGCAAGTCAACAACCTCACCCACAACCTGAGCTACAAATCTTTGCAAAAGACATAAAGGCATATAATATATTTGCCTTTATTAGTCGAGGCATAGTGTTTAAAACCAGGGAGGTTATGCTGGAACTGTAGAAAATGTTGGTTGATCACACCCAGAGTATCGTGCAAAGTTCTGGTATCCACATTAAGTGCAGAAGAGATTTACCAGGATGTTGCCTGGATTGGAGAATTTGTTGTGAAGAGAGATTGGATAGGTTGGGATTGTTTTATTTACAGCAGAGGAGATTGACAAGGAACATTATTGAGATGTATTACATTGAGTGCATAGATACGGTCAACAGGGAGAAAGTCTTCCCCTTGATGGAGGGATCTAGGGGCATGGATTTAAGATAAGGGGTGGACAGTTTAGAGGAGAGATGTGAGGAAAATCTTTTACACCCAGAGGGTGGTTGAATCTGAAACTCACTGCCTGAAAGGGTGGTAGAGGTAGAAACACTCATAACATTTAAGAAGTATTTAGATGCCAAGGCAGAGAAGGCTATGGGCCAAGTGTTGGAAAATGGGATAAAAATAGTTAAAAACCAAACGAACTGCAGACGCTGCAAATCAGAAATTGCTGGAAAAGCTCAGCAGGTCTGGCAGCATCTGTGAAGAGAAATCAGAGTTAATGTTTCAGGTTTCCTCAGAACTGTTCTGAGGAAGGGTCACCGGACCCGAAACGTTAACTCTGATTTCTCTTCACAGATGCTGCCAAACCTGAGATTTTCCAGCAATTTTGGATTAAAATAGTTGTTTTTGACCAGTGTGAACACAATGGACCTTTCTCTGTGCTGTAGTTCTCTGTAACTCAATGACCATTTTCTAGGACATCCGATTTCCTGATAATTCTTTGCCCCACACTCACGCTGACCCTGGAATTCTATACTGTTCCAGTGAAGCATAACATAAGCTCGAGGATCAGTACCTCATTTGTTAATGAGATGCTTCGGAGCTTGCCAGAGTCAACATTGAGTTAGATCATAACCTCCCTGCCCCCCAAATTTTTCAAAAGCTTTTGGATCCATTAATTGTCCATTTATTTACATCTCTGCAAGATGCATCTTTCTGTTTCTTTCTAATTACATTACCATCTCCCTTTTGCCTGGCACCACACTGTTATTTGAGCTTGCCTTCTACCACACTATCACAGACCTTCCCTTTTAATTCCCTACCCAAGTCAGCTGTGCCGCCCCACTCCTCACTTTCCATGCCTGTGCACTTGCCTCACTCCTGTAACATGACTGTATTTTTTCAGTTCTAGCAATATGTCATTGACCTAAAACACTAATTCTGTTTTTCTCTTTTTACAGGTGAATGGAGGAGATTTTGTGTGTTTCCTTTACTGGAGTAGATATTTGTTGCGAAGTGCTTAGTTCAAAGAAAATCAGAAATCCTTTTGAAAATATTAGGTCCCTTTTGTGATGGTGTCATTTTGCTATTCCCTCTCTTCTTCGTACAAATTATTCAACAATTCCAGGACCTGTTCCTTCCTTTTTAATGAAAAGAATGTTGCTAATTTTTGACCCTTGTTTATATATTAATGGTTAGAAATATTGGTGGAAAAGGATTGTAAGATCTTACTGGTGAGAAAATCTGCCATTTCCTCTGAGTTTTCATTTCTTTAAATAGAAACCTTACTCCTGCCGCCTGTTCTTACCTCCTCCCCTTCTTCTCTCTCTCTCTCTCTCTTCCCACCACTCCCCCCCGCTCCCCCACCACCAAAAAAAAACAATCTTCCCTTGTCACATGTCAATCTCTCGTCAACCAGTTGCTACTTTTCCGTTGAGAATATGATCTTTTATTTTGGGAATCCATGACACCTTACCAGTCTGGAACAATTCATTGTTTTGTGCAGAGAAATAATACAAACAGATTTTTCTGCTAATAGGGACATAGATTATAAAAGCAAGGAAATAATGTTGCATTTGTATAGACATTGGTCTGGCCTCATTGATGTAGTGTCTCTAGTTATGAGTGCTACATTTTGAGAGCTATATTTTAAGAAGGCTATGAAGGCATTGGCATGTGCGTATAAAGATTCACAAGAATAGTTTCAGGGATGGGAATCTTCAATTACACAGATTGGAGAAACTGTGACTATTTTAATTGGAGAAGGGAGTGTTGAAAAGAAATTTGATAAAGGTGTTCAAAATCATGAGTGGCCTGGACAGAATGGAAAGGAAAAAAACTGTTCCCATAGATGGGAGGACCAAGAACAAGATTTCGGATAATTAGCAAAAGGTACAGTGACAACGTAAGACAGCAATTGGTTAAGATCTGCATTGTACCACCTCAGAATGATTGGGGCCAATTCAATCAAGACGTTCAAGAGGAACTAGGTTGTTATTGGAAAAGAAAAATTGTTCAGGGATACTGTGAGAAAGTGGGCATATGGCACTTGGTGAATTGCTCTTACGGATAGCCAGCACAGATAGGAATGGTGAAACAGTTTGCTCCTGTGCTTTAACAGTTCTGAGATTCTGGAATTGCTGTTGCTAATAATTCAGTGCTCACAACATTTTGGTAACTGAAGGAGTTTCTTTATTGTCTGGTAAAGCTTGTTGTCCAATTTGGATGGGAACCTTCCTGCTACTTTAATACAATTCCATTTTGTCACGCCTGCAAACTGAAGAAGTTTAAAACTGAAATGAACAGAGTGCAGTAAATCAAATAAATTGAACAAATTGTTAAAGAAAGGGTTAATTTGTAAGGAAGGCAGATAGTTTAATTCTACAATGGTTTTGATTATTTATCAAGAATCAATTCACCAACACAGTCATGCAATACACTATGACCATTACTTTTCAATAGAAAACCTTGGAGAAGATCTTTCTGTAATACCTTACGTTTTTTCTCGTCATTTTAAAATCTATGCTATGTATCTTAAGTTTACATTTTTGAGTGAATGTTTTAAATGGGAAAGTGGTCTGTTTAGCAACTTAAGAATTTCTATTTATTTTTACAGAACGTGTCTTTGAAGAGAATTAATTTGCAGGGTTATGATGAGGGTACGAGACAAAATTATACACTTCTTTCAAGGTACTGGCACAGACGCAAGGGTCAAATGTCTTTGGCATGCTGTACAATTCTCTAATTCTACTACAAAACTGCTAATTTTCTTCTGTTGCGCATTTATAGCTTAATGCATCTTTTCAGTTTTAGTTTTTCCATTATTGTTACCTGTGGAAATTTCAAAATTAGAACTTGCCAAATCCTTCATGATTCCACTAGCTGAAGAACTGAAACACTTCTTGGAATCTTCATGTCCTGGATGAAAGGAGGTGGGTGGGTGAACTTATTTAGGTGGGAGTCGACCAGATTCTTGCTGGCTGGATAAAGTTTTGTGTTTAAGTTCTCAACCTCAAAATATGGGATCACCTTCCTGACTGTAGTTGCTGATACATGGCAGATAAGCTTATATGCATCTTGTTAAAAGCACAGTTCACTAGAACCTAGTGATTATTCCCAATTAATTTTTATTCAATGGAAAATCACTTCCTTTAGATATCCCACCACATATAACCTGGTGATGTTCACTTCTTGGACTTCAGTGCAAATACTTGCTGCTTTATCCTTAATGCATTACAGCTTTAACTGATGCTTGCATTGAGTTACAATGTAAATACAGTCTAAGTATTGAAGGGGAGGAGGGTGGCTGTGCTCACAAGGCAGGCTAAAGTGAATTCAGCTAAGGAAAGAATTAGTGAGACACGATCTGTCCAGGTGTGGATTTGGGTGTGGCTCAAACTGTCTAACGTGGTGTGGGCAAGAGTGCGACACAATTTGTCCAGGGTGGACCACTGTCTGTTCAAAATTGAAAGTTTGGATCTCTAAGCAATTTCTGTCCTACCCTGGGGTATTTGGGATGATCTCTAGCAAGGTAGAGTTGGCTGTCTAGTTTGTGTTCCTTGCTGCAAGAGGCTCACGTGTGGTGATACCGTTGGAAAGTCATTGGACTTATTTAATCTAGTAGGGTGGGAGTTGGAAAATCAAGGAGTGTAAGGTCCAAAGACAGCTTCATGCAAGGTGATGGTGCAGGTACCCTTTTTGATAGGTGGGTAGAAGGCCCAGAGGAGCATTGGATCATCATAGGTTCAGGGTCAAAATGGGGAAGTTAGTGAAAATGTGGATGGGATTGCTGAAAACGGAGAGGTTCCAGGTTGATGGAGAGAAACTGAAATTAAAAAGCATTTAGGGAGGGAACGAATGGGTAATTTGGTGGGTCACATAAGGTGTGTCAAACATATAACTTAGAACAATGAAAGTAACCTCACTGTCTAGAATAACTTCACTTTCAATCTCTAAATTTCAAAAAGGCATACTCAAAGAGGAAGGTAGTGTTTTGTGGGTTAGCAGAATTTAATTTAGAATTTTGGAATAACTAACCCCATTAGTGATGAATCAAGTGAATGTAGAATTATAGTCAACTGTATTCCAATCCCAAATAGCCAGTATTGCTCCTAAACACATGATATCATGTTCTAACCAGATCCCTCGAAGTTAAAGAGGCACAGTATATTGTGGATTGATTCATAACTCTAACATTACAAGATGATAGCCGTGAAGGAATGGAGATGGATGCAATCAATGAAGTGTCCCATTGGTGTCAAGACAAAATTACATTAATTCTGCCATAGCCTCTCTGAAGGAAAGCTGATTATTATTACTGGGAATGTGCACTGACAGGCTTTAAGTATCACAGCTAAAGTCTCCACACACCTAAACATTTAGTCACAAGACACTGTTCTCTGGGTCCACACAAGATGGCCCTTTCTTTAGTCCACATGCTCTTGGGCAGGAGGCCAGAGAAGCAACATTGCTCAGTGAAGGACTTACCCAGGGCAGCATGGAGCAGGTTTGGATGGCAAACCTTAAAGAGAATGATGAATACTTTTATTTTTCTATTTATGGGATATGGGTGTTTCTGGCTGGCCAGTACTAGTTTCCATCCCTTGTTGCCCTTGGGAAGCTGGTGAGCTGTGTTCTTAACTACTTCATTTGGTGCTGGTAGACCAACAGTGCCATTAAGGAGGTAATTCCAGATATTTGACCCAATGATACTGAAGGAATGGTGATATATTTCAAAGTTAAAATGGTGAGTGGTTTAGAGGAGAAATTGCAGGTGATGGTGTTCTTATCCTTCTAGCTAGCAGTATTGATAGGTTTGGAAGTTGCTGTCTAAGGAGCCTCAGTGCATTTCTGCAGTGCATCTTGTAGATGCTACGCAATGCTGCTATTGAGTGTTGGCCTTGGAGGGAGTGAATGTATATGGTCCCAATCAAGCAGGCTGCTTTGTTTTGGATGGTGTCATGCTTTTTGAGTGTTGTTGGGGCTGCATCTATCCAGGCAGGTGGAGAGTATTTTATCATGCTAGATAGCAACCTTTAGGATGTTGATGGTGGGAGATTAAGTGATGATAATCTCATGGAATATCTTGGAGTGATGGTAAGGTTGTCTTTTATTGATGGTCATTGCCTGGCAGTTGTAAGGTGTGGTTGTTCTTTGCCATTTGTTGCCCCAAACCTGGATATCATCAAGATTTTACTGCATTTGAACTTGGACTGCTTCAGTATCTGAGGAATGACAAATGGTTCTGAACATTGTGCAGTTGTCAGCGAACATTCCCACTTCTGAATTTATAATGGAGGGAAGGTCACTGATGGACAAGCTGAAGATGCTTTGGCCCAGGACACCACCCTGAGGAACCTAAGGGGCTCTTGTGGTACACTGGTAGTGTCCCTAGCTTTGAGCTGGGGGCCCAGATTCAAGTCACACCTGGTCCAAAGATGTGTAATAACATCTCTGAACAGGTTGATTTTTTTAAAAATTCTATTCAGGAGTTTCTGGAGCTGAAATGACTGACCTGCAACAATCACAATCATTTTCCTTTGTGCTGGCATGACTCCAATCCAACGATGAGTTTTCTCTCTGATTCCTATTGACTCCAGTTTTGCCAGAGTTCTTTGATAGTCAAGATCAGTCACTCTTGCCTCAATGCATTGACTTCTCAGATGTCCTGAAACAGACAACAGATTGGCACAGATCTCCCTACATCAGTTCTGGTCAGAATGCAGCTGAGGAACAACCATCACTGAAAGATGCAGGACTAACAACAGCAGCAGTGGCTGTGGATCAACCTGCAAGGCTGTGACATTCAGGACCATATTGATGACTACATTGGTTCAAAATTGCATCACAGCAGCTATTTCTGGCTGGAAAGCAGTGCAGAAGGCACTTCAGTGTGGCCTGAGGACATTGTCCAGAAGCTGGCAGGTATAAGAGGCAAGTGCCTACAGCTGCAAGGACTGGGTGATAATCCAATGCTGGCAGCGTTGAAAGATAAGTGGTCCTCAACTTCTATTCAAGTTGAATAAAGATAACAGCAGTCCTCAACTTTAATTCAAGTGGATTGTTTCAAGAAGCCAGTAGGCCCACTCTGGAATTTTGCAGTTAGACATTAAGTTTATATGGGAGGTGCTCTTTTTTTTTGCTAAAGTATATGAATTGGTGCATTCTTCCTTGGATGCAGGCAGCCAGGTAGGGTGCATTTAATTGCACCCATTTGGTGTTAAGAGCATCCTGGCAAAAAAAAAAGCAGTGTCTGTCAAAAAGGAAAGGGTTTATCACTGTCTGCCCCACAAGCCAACTACTCCAGGTATGTGCAAAATATCTAAGGAACTAACATAACTCCTACATTCTGAAGCACTTGCAGGTGACTTCAGCTTTTAATACCCCTCATCACTTAGTTTTGGCTGTTTGCTGACATGATATCCCCTTGAGCCTTGGCTGACAACAATTGTCAGGAATCCTACAATTCTTGCTACATAAAGGAAACATAGTCCACAACAGCCATTACTGAACAGAACTTAGGACTTCAGAGAATGTGATTTTAATGCCCAGACTGCTCAGGCCAAACAACGTAATATAAACAGAGACAATACTGCCCCACATTATTGTGCTGCCATCTGTCATTGCTGGTCACCTCATTTCCTCAGTATCCCTACAGTCCTGGAGAATGTTTCTTGACTATACCATTGCGCAGTGGGACAAGTCGAAACCCCCAAGAGGATGATGTTCATCACATTGCAGTGGTCCATTCCCTCCTGTTCTGAAAATATTTTGGATGGCTTTGGAGACCAAAGATCTTTTCTTCCTGCGCCCTGCACAGCCTGATCACATTTCTCCATTGGTTACATACATTGCCCCTGTGGTATCCCCATTGTTGTGATACTAAGCCTAGTCTCCTCACTCTAACCTCAGTGAATGCGGTTTGTCTCTGTCTCATTCTGAGTCACTGTTCCTTTTTCAACAACAAATTACAATATTCTGCTCTGCTTGATCTACTGGGGGTAAAAGGGTCCTTGCAGAGAGGAGGGGGAAAGTCAGATCACCTTAAGAGTGCCCTTGGATGAAGCTCCCAGGGTGCCTGGTTGGCACATCTCCCCTGTGGATGTCTCCTTGATATGAAGGGAGAAGGTGGAATGAAGTCGAAGTGCCTTGTTCCTGTTTTCACCCTGCCATTCATGTTAAGTGTCCATGGCTATAGTGATGAATTCCAGGAGCACATTTCGCAGCCATGGAGTCTTCTGTTGGCTCTGAATGTTGAAGAGGATTCCTTTCCAAGGAAGCAACCAAACGCTCGTATAAGAGAGCCTCCAGAGATAAATAGAATTTGAATGGCCTCTACCACTGACCACCTTTTGAATGGCTGTATTTTGATGTAAGTGTTGTTTCCTTCATCATTATACTCATTAGATTGTGGCACTGAGCCCACTCTGGATAATAGACCCACTGAGGTGAATATTTCTTTGCTGTTGGAGGGTGCCTGTGAACATTGTGCTGGTCCCTCCTCTGGGGATTCAGAGACACCGTCTTGAGAGCAGTGATGCTAATAGGGGAAGTTAGAGGCGTCTTGTGCTTCTGTCTCTTCTGACGGCTGCTAGTACCTGGAGTGGAGAAGTGACAGAATTAGTTGTTGGACGTGCGCAGTCTGTCGATGCCAACAAAACAAATGACAGTCAGAGAACACGGTGCTTCAC